GTCCATTATCTTTGAAAACTCGTGGCAAATCGAGAGTGGTCGCTGACAACTGGAAAAGGGCAAATATAGTACCCATCTTTAAGAAATGAAAAGGACGGAGGATTCAGGGAATGCAGACTAGTCAGCCTCACCTCAGTCCCTGGAAGAGTCATGGAGCAGATTCTCAAGGAATCCATTTCTAAGCATTTGGAGGAGCAGTGGTGATCAGGAACAGTCAACATGGATTCACCAAGGGCAAGTCATGCCTGGCCAACCCAGTTTCCTCTTATGACAAAGTGACTGGCTCTGAGGATTCAGGGAAAGCAGTAGACATGATATACCTTGACTTCAGCAAGGCTTTTGATAGTCTCCCATAGCATTCTTGCAAGCGAGCTGAGGAAGGCCTTATTACCAAGAATCCTAACAGCATCCTGGGCTGGATTGGTAGGATGGTGCCAGGAGATTCAGGTTCTTCCCCTCTGTTTGGCACTAGTAAGGCCACATCTGGAGTTGGGTCCAGTTTTGGGCTCCTCATACAGAAAGGATGTGGACAACTTGGGGAAAGTCCAGTGAAGGACAACAAAATGGTTAGGTGGCTAGATGACTTGAGGGGAGACTGAAGAAACTGGGCTTATTTAGTCTGGAGAAGAGAAGACCGAGGGGGTGATTTAATAGCAGCTTCCAACTACCTGAAGGTGGTTCCAAAGAGGATGGAGCTGGACTGTTCTCGGTGGTGGCAGACAACAGAACAAGGAGCAATGGTCTCAAGTTGCAACAAGGGAAGCTTAGTTCAGATATTAGGAATAACTCTCACTAGGGGAGAGAGTGGTGAAGCACTGGAACAGGTCACCCAGAGAGGTTGTGGACTCTCCATCCTTGAAGGGTAAGGCCTGACTCAACCAAGCTTGGCTGGAATGATCCAGCTGGGGATGATCCTGCTTTGAGCAGGGGGTTGGACTAGATGACCTCCTGGGGTCTGTTCCAACCCTAATTTTCTATGGTTCTACTTGGTCCCATGTCAGAACAGTCTGTGATTGCTTCTCCAGTCCATCCTAGAGTCCACACCTGAACTCAGTCATGTAAATAAGCATGTTTTTCAGGTTCAAGTGAAGGGGCAGAGTGGAGAAAAACGACAATGCTGCCAGGATACCCTTTTAGTGAAAGTCACAATTTAACCCCTTTTCTAAAGCTCCTTTACAAGTACTTCAAGCCTCAACATCCCTGTTTGCCATTTCATCAAACAATACAACCAATTCAAAACAGAAATATTTCCGTGCACAGGTTAATCATTTGACATACTGACTGAACGCTCCATTAATGAAGTCATGACAACTAGGTGAAGTCATTTCCCCACTGCTGTAGAAAAGGCTGAAGTCAAGGTTGGTATTTGCATTGATGTGCTTTAAGGGTTGAGGGATGGAAGAACAGAGTTAACAAACGTGAATCATAACAGAATGAAGGCAGCATTAAAGGCATTTATCTAACACTTCTTGCGACCTAGTCAGCAAGTATTGCCTACACTGCACTCACTGCCTGGCATGGTGTGAACCAGCTGACAATTTATTCTGCAGAAAAATATACTGCTGACATGTAATAAGGCTTTGAAGCAGTCTTGTTGTAAAGCTTAGATAGTGCCAACATAAACATATCACCAAATGTCTCGTGAAAACTAAACCTAAACACAGAAATAAAGAATGAGACTGAATATACAACAACATGAGTATAACAAGCCATTATAGTCCCACACAGGAATTATTTAAAAAAAAAAATCTGTGGCCAACACTGCCTCTATTTAGTATCGTGAAAAGGGTCTCACAACAAGCCTTTGTCATCATCTTAAGATGCCTTACTGATGTCAGACTTGCTTATAATTACACACAGAAATGCAGGCTGCTCAACTCAGTGGCAAACTCTTGGGTTACATGGACAATGCTGAGCCAAAGGGTGTGTTTTCAAACAAACTCAGTAGTTTCTGAAAGAAGCCAACATTACCAAAATTAAACACAGCAAATTTAGTTCTACACAGCTCGTTTACAAGTATTTCCTCCTCCCCCCCATCAGAACAGCTACCCAGCTCAATCCAGCCCTACTAAATCCAAGGGAACAGGGCAGCTGCACATTCAATAGTTAACAAAACACAACCCCCAACACTATACATCTCTTCATTCCTGAAGCAAACCTCAAGTGACAGAACAGTGCTCTAAGGAGGATAACTGCATATTGTTGTTATAAATGAAGGTCTGTTCAAGGAAATAAAAATGTCTTTAGTCAGAAACATGATTTTCTACCAGATTACATCTTTTTAAGTAATTTTTTCCAAAGACTGGCTCCAAGATTCAGGAATTTTTGGAGACTATCAACATAGCTGCTCAGATCAGACTGAGATCATAGACAAACTAGGAAGTGATGCGAGGCCCTATCCTCCCCCAGCTTCCTGGCCAAGTACCACAACCTCAAGCAGTGCCATTAAGCCCAAAAAGCAAGGGAGTGAATTTAAGTCAATACAAGCAACATACCATGGGCAGATCTCCATGAGTACACACGATCTGCAGCACTGCAAACCCATCTGCAGCACTGCAAACTGCACATGCACGCAGTTGCTGAGCTGCTAGTTTGCAGCACCGCAGATTTTTTTTTTTTTTTTTTTTTTTTTTTTTTATATGGGGAGATCCTGGTGTCCAAAAACATGCCAAGCAGCAGGCACAGCACATGTGGCTGCAGTATGTACTGCCCAAGGCTGGAGCTTGGCTGGCCAGAGCCACTCTAGGGCTGCCCACTCTGCATGCCCATGTTGCTACTACTGCAGCCCCAGAAGGCCCTCAGGTTGGCTGGCCCCAGCAGCCTTACGTGCTGGCCCCACTTCCCTTATCTGACCTGGAGCACTTTTCCACTCACCAGAGCATGTGTGCAGCAGCATACCCAGGGCCAACTAGCAGTAGCACAAACATGCTGCTGCTATTTGCCCCCAGGGAAACGCATGTTCCCACTTGTGGGGACACGCCCTGTGATGACAGTAACGAGGCTTCTGAACACCTTTAGTTTGGAGAGGCAGATACACTGTGTATACACTTTAATGTACACTGGAATGTACACACTTGTAACCAAATAGAGCAATATACCCACAAGTATCTTTACTTTAAATGGCAGAAAGTCACAGATCTCTGCAGCAGATGACTATGGATTCACTGACCAACACTTATTTCTGGTCAAGTACATGAAAAATTAGTTTGGTTCGATGCAAAAAAGTTAGCAGAGATGCAAGAAGCTAGTATTCATCCAGCCTGCCAAGGTTGGATTCCCTGAAGTCCACTCATACCATCAGGGAAGACATGAGGGGCACCCCCAATTCAAGCTTTCATGACTTAAGTCTCCTCATATGCATCAAGTACAAAAGTACATGTATATGCCTCTCTGCATAGCATCTCGCCTCTCAATCATATCTTAAGTTGGTTAAAAGAATGAGATTACTACAAGGCAGGAAGCTACCAGTGACTACGCTACACAAGTTGCAAAGAGAAAGAGAAGGCAAATGGCTTCCCAATAGTTAGCCATTAGGCCATACCTGCACTCAGTTTGCAAAGCAAGGCTTTTATCTATATCAGAAACAACACACTACCCTGCTTCTAATTCAGAAGCACTTATGAATCCATACAATATGTTAAGGCCCAAATCCTATTCCAGCTGTTACGTTCAAGACTTGGCAGCCACTCTCCCCAAGCACCTCCCATCTCCAGAGACCAATCCCATTCCATCCTGAGAGTGCACTTAACTCCGCTACTCTCTGTGGTTGACTTTATGCACTTGTATCAGGTTGGCATTCAGCTCACTCTGATTCAGCAAATCTGAATCTGACAGCAGCACTGATTTTGGTGCAAAATACAGTAGAGCATGAGAAGCACCACACAGGTGCATGAGGGTCTAATAAGTGATATCAGATTTACTGAAAGAACAACTCAAATAGTTGGAAAAATTCTTTGCAAGCTTTCGGGTACAATTCCCCTTTGACACTTCCACTGCCTGATAAAGGGTACTTATACCTGAAAACTTGCAAAGAAGAATTTTTCCAACTATTTGAGTTGCTTTAATAAAAGATATTGGATTTACCCAAAGAACCTTGTTTGCCCATCTCCTTAAACCATCACTGCTACAACCTACACTCCAGAAGAACCACACATATCCGTTCATCTGGTATCTTAGCAGTGAGGGCACTCCCTGAACATGGGTGACTTACTGGGTTCTAACTCTTGCTTAGACAGAGCAGGTTGTAAACCTGCCTCTTTATCCTTCCTGGAAGTTTCCTACCAACCAAGCTATGGACTAGGCAGGGCTGAGGGCAACCTCTGCCATTACCACATCCATTTTAAAATACAGGGGGCAATACAATCACTCTAAAAAAGGTGGTCAGTACCATCTCTACGACGAGTTGAGGGCAGTTCACCAGAGCTTGGAAAGAGGGCTGTACTGCATGTAGCAATTCATTCACAGATTCACAAAAGCCATATGGCATTCCCAAATCTGACCTTGGGAAAGTGATAGCAATTAGGTCACTCTCCTTTAAAAGATGCAAGTTGCATCAGACTTGGGATATTAAGTGGTTGCACCTTGCAGAAATAACAGAACAGTGTAGCACTGGGATGCTATTCAGAAAGAACAGCAGGAAACAATTCGGCAAAATGAGGTGCTTTCAGGTAAGGCAGGAAAAGAAAATGAAGTAAGGGATACAGCAGAAATGGGCTTTAGTGATTACAGAAACAATCTTGGTATGGCTAAAATAGTTTTACAACTATTCAACTACACAAGAGGGAAAAAGACACCACCAAAATCTAAGACTGGAAGTTGAGAAAGTGTCCTTCTTACTTTGCTTTTATGGAAGAAGAATTTGTTGCTATACAAATTTAAGTAAAAACCTGGGAACCAACCAACACCTTTTTATTAATGAAGCAGAAATGCACTGTATGAGCTATCACATTACAGAAGTGTCAAAGAGGACAAAATAAGCATGAAGTTGGATGCATATTTACCTGTGCTCCCGGGACAGGACCAAAAGGGTTTGCTGGTCTCATAACAGGTTGGCTGTATATCAAGGTTGGTTGTGTCATTACCGGTACACCTCCCACTTGTGAGGGCTAAATCAGGAACAGAATCAAATTATATACTGCTTAAATTAAATGCCCCTCCCCCTCCCCCTTGTGGGGTGGAAGGAAGGGGATAGAAGAAGAGTCTTCATTTGGCATGATCAAATGTGAAGCGGCACTTCTGCAAGGGGAATGTAAACTGAGGTTACTGGAAAAGAACATTATGTCATCTATTTACAAGACTACATCTGCACTAGGGGACAAAACGTTGAAGCAGTCTGCACAAATCTGCTACAATCCGGCGTTTAAACGCAGGATTTTTGACAGTATCTTCAACTGTGTTGACTGCAGATATGGAGGTTTTGACACTTCTCCCTTTTGTATTTGTGCCTCCAGTGCATGGAAAGAGCTAGTTATTAGATTAATATTTTATATATTTCAGAGAACCAATGAAAACAGGTACATAATGCATTCATATATCCAATATGCACTGAAGTCCCAGTATTATCAAGCTTTTGAAGATTGATGAAAGTAGGTAATTTATAATGCATTAGATCCCAGTTTTCTATGACAAGGAAAATATGGAGACATTCAAGTTAAAGTTAGAGTCCCTCACCTTGCTTAAAATTCAGTTGACTTAAGTTACACCCTACCCATCTCTGCTTTGTTGGCATTTCACTGGCCAAAAATAGGCTGACCAATTTTGTTCTTCTTGATCACATTGGTCAGACTATGGGGTTCATATTCCACATGTGCCACCAACTAGTGGCAAAAGAAAAGCCATTTGCTATTAACCCTGATGAGACATTTATGCTTCAACCCTATCATTCCTATTTTGTTTACAACAGCAATTACCCAATGAAGGATGCATAATGGGGTCAGTATTCCTGAATGAAGAACCCCAGCTGAGAACATCCTGAACAAGATACAAAAAATCCCAGACCAATTTGAAAACCTACTGCTGTCCTCTGCTATCTTTCAGCAATGAGAACATTGCTCTTAACAAATATAGCTGAGTCAGTGATGGAGAGAAGGCTCTAAAATTTTAGACCAACCTTTCCTTTTGGACTGGGCTCCAATACCATGACAAAGGTTTCCCTTTATATAAAATATCCGGCAAGTTGATATACGAGTGAAGTAATCAGATTTTGTCATCAGGATGAGCTAAACTCAGAATTTATGACAACTTGCATAAGCGAACTTTAAAATCTAAGTACGGTTTATGAAAATGATTAGCAAACAACTTGAGAATAATAGCTGTGAATTGTTTACCAGAAGAATTGTTTTGAGATGTTTGCCCCTACTACATCACTTTTCTTCTACAAAAGATGACAATCCACAGAGGACTGCCAGGTTTATATTTGGATTAACACTGTACAGTTGATATTTCCATGTTGTACTGTTATTTGAGGGTACTTATCAGGATAGCATTCTTAGCATAGTAAAAAACTTCCTCTAGGTTAAGACCATGTAATGAATTACTGCGATATTTTACCATTAGATTCCTATGTACCATCAATCTGAACCTTGTGAGCATGGAAGTGTCCCATACGAGATAGCGCAAAGAAAGAAATCTCTAAACTTTATTGCTACTCCAGGTGAGAAATTCCAGAGAAAGTCTGTCCCTGTGATTACCTGAATTTTCTTATTTCAGGATGTGGGAATTTCCTGAAATACAGCTCTGAGAGCCTTACTGGACAACTAGTAAAGAAAAATTTAAGTCTCAATGCAAGGACATTAAAAACACAAAGTCTGGAAACTCCAAAGTGTGGATAATTAAGTAACTGATGGAGAATCTACAAGTAGTGCAGGACAAGAATGAACACAGGATCTACAATTTACTGTATCAGACCATAGGTCCGTCTTGTCCAGTATCCTGTGTTACAGGGGCAGAGAGTGGATGCTGAAAGGGAGCATGATCTGGGTCTGGCTAGGGCTATCTCCACTGTTCCTCTCCTACTTGGAGCCTCCAGCATCAGAACCTGAAGAACTAGCTCATGCAATTTCTGCCAGCATACATGTGTCAATCAGAGGTGCCCAGAGGCATAATCTTTAACTGGCATCTGTGACAGATATCCCCATAAAACACCACCTGGGTCAGTGATCAGACATCAATCCCACACAGACAAAAACCTGTGGAAGAACACTAACTTCCCTGGGCATTCATTCCATCACTGACTTCAGAGTACAGGTTTCCCTTGATTTATGTGATGCATGCGTTCCTGGAGAACGGCACATAAGTCAAATTTGCAGAAAGTGAACCGACTTTATAATGTAACAAATGGGATAGGTTCCCATGATGGTGAGGGAGGGAGGGAGGCTGGGACTAGGGAAGGGGCAGGGTGCCACTCCCAGGGCTGCACAAGGGAGCAAAGCAGAAGAAACAGAGAGTGGCACTCAACCCCAGCCCCAGGAGCAGCCAGCACCAGCTGCCTGCAGCCACCGGGCTGCACCATGCTCCACCTGTCTCCACTCACCCCAGCTCCTGGGCTGCACCATGCCCCGGTACAGGCATGAGTGCAAATAAGCAGAGCCCCAGGCAGCATGGGGTATGGCACTTACCACCCAGGGGCTGGGGGGAGGGGGGGGGCAGTGGCACACCTTGCTGCTCCGCGCCCCCTGGGAGGGCTGCGAGCTGGGGTCCTGTGCCTGGATCTTCCCAGAGAGTGTGCGCCCCTGATCTGCATGTGGCATGACAGCAGGCTACCACAGCAGGCTGGGGCCAGTACAGCCCCAAGCCTGCAGCCTTCCTGGGGGATGCTGAGCAGCAAGAGGCACACCCTCCCCTCCCACCCACTGACGGGTCCCTCCACAACTGGCACAGGCTGCTCCTAGGGCTGGGGTGAGTGCTGTGCCCTGCACTGCCCAGAGCTCCATTTGTCTGCAGTTATCCCAGCCCCTGCTGGGGCAGCCAACACTAGAGCACAGTGCAGCCCAGGAGCTGGGGTGAGGGGCTGTAGCCAACTGCCTCCCAGGGCCCTGCAGCCGGGGCTGGGGCGAGTGGGGCCAAGGCCCTTTCCCCTCTCCCCACAGAATTACTTGCTTGGGTGGGGGTGCACCTACACTGATCACATGAGGGCACATTTACCTCGCATATAACGAATTACAGGTCTAAAATATGCTCATCACGTAAGATCGAATTCACATATAAAGAAACCACATAAAAAAATTGAGCAAGTAGGACATCTGCCTCTGAAGAAGTTAGTCTATAAAAGTGCCACACTGCTTCGCCTTCTGCTACTCTGTTATCAGTAAAGCACTCTTAGGGGAGATGTACACAGACACAATAAAAAAAAGTTAGGCAGATACTAGGTGAAGAAGCAGAATAGAAAAAAGTCCGACAGCCCTAGGTAACAGTCATCTTTCTTACGGATGAAAAAAGATTTAGGGAAGAACAAGAGGTACCCAGTTAACCTTCTTGCCCCTCAATGTTAAGATCATTTTGTTATAATACTTTGCATGCACGTGAGTGCATGTAAACAAAGCAAATTCACAGTAAAGCATATACAGCAAAGTTAAGAAGTTCCACTAACCATTCCATATGCCATCATTCCTGTTGGTGTTGTAGCAGGATAGGCCATTACAGGTGGTGCCTAACAAAAAGAGAAAAAAAAATACTGAGCTGCATGAAAAGATCGTTGCATCCATAGTAACATGTTGCCTTTAAGTGTCAACTACTGCACTCATACAGTGTATTACTAAATTTAACAAAAAAAAGTCTATTAAGGTATATCAGCATTTGATAAATACAGCCCCTTACCCCAACTCTAAAACTTGGTTCAGAGGCGATTAATTTTATTAGAACAACTAAAAATAGCAAAAAAAAAAGCTTCTCTTTGCAAGTTTTTGGGCACAAGCATCCTTCTTCAGGCTGAGGAGAAATCAAAGATTGTAAAAGCCCTCTTAGGTAGGAAATAAACTTCATTTTACACAAAGGGAAGTTGAGGCTGGACACACACACACACACACACACACTCCCATGGGTCTGAGAGTCCTTTCATGTGAGTTTCTCTTTGATGTTCAGATAAGGCCGTCCTCTTGGGGGGAGGGGGTTGTCACATGTCAGAAGCAGGCAGGGAGGCACAGAAATCTCTCTTGTTTAGCAATGAAGTTTACTTTTCCAAAAATGGCTAAAATACAGTATCTTTTATGTTTCAGGGATCTATTTTGCAGCTGTGTTGGCCTGAGAAAAAGAAATACAAAACTCTAAAAACTCTTGGTTCAGAAGCGATACCTTTTATTTTTTTGTATTTCTCCATCTCAGACCAACACAGCTGGTAGCCAGTATCAAGTGGAGTGCCCTGGGGCTGGTTTTGTTCTATGTCTTCATCAATGACCTGGAATATGGCAGAGTGCACTCTCAGTAAGTTTGCAGACGACACCAAGTGGAGGGGGGAAGTAGCAGATATGCCGGAGGGTAGAGTTAGGAATCAGAGCGACCTAGACAAATTGGAGAGTCCAGCAGCAGGCTAAAATGGTTTGGGGGCTGGGGGACCTGACTTATGAGGGTTTATTTTGTCTAGAGAAGAGAAGATGGGGGGGAGGGGCAAAGTTTTAATAACAGTCTTCAACTACCTGCAAGGGGGTTCCACGGAGGATGGAGCTGGACTGTTCTCAGTGGTGGCAGATAACAGAACAAGGAGCAATGTTGCAGCAAGAGAAGACTAGGTTAGATATTAGGAAGAATTTTCTCATTAGGAGGGTAGTAAAACACTGGATCAGGTTACCCAGAGAGGTGGCGGAAGCTCAATCCTTGGAGGTTTTCAAAACCCGGCTAGACAAAGCTGTGGCTGGAATGATCTAGTTGGGGCTGGTCCTGCTCTGAGCCGGGGGCTGGACTAGATGACCTCCCGAGGTCCCTTCCAACCCTCACCTTCTATGATTCTAACTCACACAAAAAGACTCTCAGACCCAGGGGAATACATGTCCAGCCTCAAACTCCCCTGTGCAAAGTGAAGAAATTAAGTTTATTTTCTACATAAGAGGACTCTTACAATCTTTGACTTCTCCTCAGCCTGAAGAAGGGTGTGTGCACCCAAAAGCTTGCAAAGAACGAATTTTTTTTTTTTTTTTAACTATTTTTCAGTTCGTCTAATAAAAGGTATCAGCCTCTGAACCAAGAGGTTTAGAGTTTCGTATTTCTTTGTCAGACCAACACTGCTACAAATAGATCCCTATTAGCATTTGTAAGGTTTAACCAAATTGTGTTTGGTCTTGCATAAATTTTTTAATCGTGTGCCAGTTTTCTTATACTAAAACTTTTAGAAAGCCTCAACATACATCTAATTGTTACTAATTAGAATAATTAAGTTAAGACAAGACTTCGGCCAACAATGACCTAGTGTTCCAGCTACTGGTCTTTTACTATTTAGTCCAAAAAAGCACAAAAGATAAAAATGCTTTAGACATCATGAGATTCAGAAAACAAGCAACTCTTTTCTGAATCCTATGAAGTATACAACTTAATATTTATCTTTAAGGAACTGTGTCCAGGTGGTTCTAAAGATAGAACCAAAAAATAAAGGCCAAATGACCATCATGGAGGACATCCAGAAATTTCTCTCTTTAAAGGCAGCCCACAAACCAAGTTAAGGGGGCAGGAGGCTCCAAGATTACTTCAGTCCTTATACAATTCCACCACTTCCAGCAATGGTGCAAGTGCAATTGTTGACTGGCTTTTGGCATTTTTCCAGTCTGCCGTGCCCCATTCAGAGGCAGTCATCTTGACAACACTGTACTAAATGTCCCTGGCTACACTTGTCCTGAAGCAAAGATCAGAGAGTTGTGGAATCACGATGGTCTGATTTATTTATTTATTTTTTAGTATCAGTTCCATGTTTTGCACCCATTTGTAAAGGCACAATTTTTTTTTAAAGAAAAAATTGAAGACTCCTGAAATTACCAAGCAGTCACCACTTTTAATCCATATTGTGGTATATTCATAGTGGTAAGCTTTTGCACAGCTTGTGACAAAAAGTAAGATTAGCAGCCCTGCTCCATGTTTCCTCTGTCAACTAACCATCTTCCTTGCTTTAAAAAAAAAAAAGTGACACATGCAAAGACCTTCTGATACTTCATAAAAAACAAAGACATGGTTTATAAAGGTAATTCTGCACACTTATATCATATTCATTTGTCTTACCCTCTCACCCCCTTCCACCACTTATATTATAGAATTCTGATTACGAAAAGATCTTAGACATAGTCTATCTGAATATTTATGAAGTGCCAAATTAATGTCTTACCCAGCTGTCTTCATCTGCTTCACCTTTAAATTATGTGAGGGATTTAACATGTGTTACATTCTTTGCTGTGGAAATTTTGTGACAGCCAGAAGATACACCCAACTATTATAAAACTTTCATGCTTGGCTCTTGCATTATAATGCTGTGGAATAAGATTGAATCTGTGCTACTTGTGGTATTTAAAACTAGATTTAAGAACAACAGTGGGCATGTCTACACAAGAGACATTTACTGCAGAGCTGCATAATTAACTCTGCAGTAAATGTCTGTGTGTCTACATGTGCAGCCCTATTAGGCCACAGGAAACGAACCCCGCAGCAGGTCAGTACTTGTAAATACAGGTACTATCCAGCTGTAGTTCCCATGCACAATGCATGTGCAGACACTGACCTGGCTGGCTGGAGCATGAGGATGCTTCAGTGTGGGGGCTGCCTGCTGGTTAGCCCCCTGCGGGAGCACCTTATACCTCAGCCAGCCCCTCTACAGCAGTGAGCCGAGTCGAAGCAGCCATGGGCTGGCAGGCTGAGTGCCCCAGATCGCCTGCCAGCCGAGCTGCTCTGTCCTGGTTCAACATGCTGTGGTCCCGAGTGCATGATGTGCGCCAGAGCCTATTGCTGCGTATTAATATGCATGTGTAGATGTGCCCAGGTGACAGGTTCTAAAAGGCACAAACTTCTACTGGTAGTGAAGTGACTGCCAAGGGTACTTAAGTGACTTCTAAGTCAAGTCCCCCAGAATGCGGTATAAGTAGAATTTTTATAAGGATTAACTGAGGTACAAGTTGTCTTTAATATGTGATAACCAAGGTTAATCAGCATTCTAAAAATTAAGAATATTTTCCTGTTTGAAGAATTAATTACATCATATACTATCTAAATATCTATTCATACAGTTCAAAAGACTACTCTGAAAATTACTGAACTTGTCAGCACTCTACATTCACAACATATGCTGGCTAATTTTTTTTTCCAGAATGTGCAAGTATAGGACTTTATATTCTTCACTGCTAACAACATCCCACAATAAACAAACAAACAAAAAAATCACAGAGAAAGACCAATATTGTTGAAAGATTATCTGAAATGAAAGACTGCGTTCCTCAAAGAAAGCAACACACAAGTTACAGCTTGCCCCTTATAAACTGGAATTTTCTCCCTTTAGTTGAGCATTAATGACATATTGGTCTCTCCCTACTTAGAAAGCAAGATCTATAATCAATGTAGATAAAGTGCCAAGTATAACAGAAGCCTGTGAGATTTCATGCAGTTACTCAAACACAAACATCTCATCTTCATTCAAAATTCACCAAGTGCATTAGAGGCAGCACAAACACCCCAGCTCTCTGGCAGCAGATGGTACAATATTAAGCAAGGAAAAAAAAATCTTGGTAATTCCCATGCCATCATTCGAATCAAGAGCCTGCAGAATACCCACAAGATTTGTATGTGCTAGGAAAAGCTCAAATTTTCAGCACACCAAAGGTCTTAAACATGAGACGTATGCAATAGCAGGAAGGTTATGAGATTCTGCTACAGCAGTGGTTAATATCAGCATGCCAGTTGATAGCAAAAAGGCTGTGGGGTTTTTTCACTTACGTATTGTGGAAAATGCATGCCATTCTGTATTTCCCAGGGAGAACAATTACATAATGCAATAACACTGGATTAGAAACAAGTACTAACACAACACAATATACAAAGACAGCATTTTAGTTCACAACTACACTTAATATCTATTTTAAAATACATTTTCTTGTAATCCAAATCATTTAGTGAGGCAACATCTGTTATGGGATACTGTCAAGGCTGATGGCTTTGCACATTTACAAAGCCTGTTATTTTTGTATGTTTTCCAAAAAAACAGGTCTTTTCTTCTTAAAAAAAGAAGTTAGGAAGGCAGCAGCACTGCAAGCAGAAACAATCCTACAACAAACCAATCAGTGAACCAAGGCAGAAAGTATGCGATGCGAATAAAACATTTAGTCTTTTAGGGTTTGTTTTTTTTAAATAAGTAAAAAGCTTTTGCATAAAAAGCCCTTGACAGTGTCTTTAAACAAGCAGTACATTTTGAAGTCTAATGTGTTACAAGCAGATGTACACAGACAGTGGTTATTTTGCTAAAAATTAACTAGCAAACACATTAAGGACTGGAGTTAATAGCTGCCACCCAAAACAGCAGCAGCTAGCACACCTGGAGAGAGAGTGCTTCTCTATCAGTAATAAAATATTGCATTACACTGTCTATTCACACCATCACACTTTTGGACCTCACAAATTAAAAAAAAAAAGTTACACTTTTGCAATCTTGCAAGTTTGTGGTAAAAGAGGGTAAATAATTAAAAAAAACCAAAAAACAAGCTTAGGTCCATTAGCATTACTAAAAATTGTTCAAATACATTCCTTCTCTCTGCCCCTCTCAACATATACTTTAAGGGCTGGGAGGACAGACCCCATGTTACACTACCTGTAGCATGAGTTATTATTAGTCAGAATTAGATTGGTTGGTCACAAAGACAACACTAAAAGCAGTTACACATCAGGATGCGACAGTATTAACTACATCTGTTTTTAAAGGGAACCATCACCATTGCCAGTATCTTCAAGGAGTGTAGGATGAAGTACTTGCTGCTGCATCTCCCAAAAAAGGCTAAGTGTTAAGACATTATAGCTTTACCAGGTCCAAGTGTAGCTCCAAACACACTACAATGCTTAGGATGTAAAACTACCCCCAACCACCACTTCTGACTTGCACAAAGCAGTGTTATTTAAGCCATTTCTGGCCTAATAATATTCTGTATTTACACTAGGATTTAACCACATTACAGAAGAACTCAAATGCATATTAAGAGCATGTGGAATCAGACACAACCTAAATAAAACAGACTATCCAGCTACCTGTTACCACAAAAGAGTAAGTTCTGTAAACTGACTATTTCTTCAGTTTTTACACCCTTACCACAAGGGTGAGTGACAACCACCTACCCCCAGAACATGCTGGTTTCTATTCAAGATCTCACTACATTAGAACTGGCCAGTCACTTACCAAAGTTGGGGCATTCCATGCAGTTGTAGGTGCAATTTTGGGTTGCCAGTTGGAACCACCAGTTAATTTCTTTTCACCTGGCTGAGTCCAATTTACATCACTTTAAATAAACATTGAAGGAGGAAGCATTAAGAACAATGTAAGGAGCTGCAGTGTTTGACACCAACATTAGTCAGCTTTTCAGGAGAAAATCTTCAGCATTATTAATCACCACTTAAGAACTCACACAATGAAGGCAGCTGCAGGTGGTCACAAGTAGCCTTGATCTAATTAAGGGTTGTATTTAGGTCTGGTTTAGCTAATGAGCTACTTAAGCTTGACCCAAACCTCACCTACACTTTAAAGGTAACAACTCAGCTCCATTTTTGCAGGTCAAGTTTAGCTCAGGCAGAGCTGAAATTACCCAGAGACTTGGCGCACACATCCTGGACAGCCTTAACACTGCTCCACAGAAGCCCAAACTGGTTTTGCATTTCTCCCTCTCTCTCTCTCTCTATATATATATATCTTTTTAGCATCATGGTGCTAGTCTATTAACAAATTACATGCTGAACTAGCAAACAAAATATGAAATTTCAAATCTGTTTAGAATAAAACAGACAGACATCAGGAGCTAGGGGGTTTAAAGACAATTAAAGTTGCCCCATGTTGTAATCAAACTCTGGCACTGACTCCATCCCATGGCCTATGGCCAGTCCATTCTCTTTCTTCACCTGCTGGGGAGATTATAGGTTCAAAACCACTGTTAACATGCTGAAGTACTATTAGGAGCAAGTAAAGTTAAAACTCCAGAAATAAATTTGCCAAATTTGTTTAAAGGCAAATACTTACTTTTTAGTAGTCCCATTTCCAATACCCAAATCTGTCACAGAAAGAAAAGACCATTATTAAATACCTTAATCTGTTTTCATTCTTAAAAAAAAAAATTAGATCTCCAATACGTACTGCCTACAAGGTTGGCTAAAGATGAATCCAGGTCATCTGACACCAACTTGTTAGGTGGTACTTTGGCAACTGGAAGACACTGGTTTTGAGAGGCCACTGTTGGTTTTAGGAGTCCGCCTAATTCATCAAAGCCTTAAAACAACAAGCACAAAGTACAATTAATATTATTTGAGACTTCCATTGAATATAAAGTCACATTTACATTAAAGGGAGAAGGTAAGGGAGGTCCAATACAATGTAAGTAGACAGACTGATCAAGCATAGCAGAACTACAAGCAGAACTACGCTACAGAGAAGCTGCAAATGAAGCTATTTCAACCTTCAACCTCAAATAGGGGTCATCTTTGCAGCTAAAATTCAGCTGCTTTAAGGACTAATCCTGCAAGCCTGACTAGCATGAAACTCAGCCATATTGCAATGCAAATTCCAGATGTGGAAGGTCTGCAGGAAAAGGTCTAGTTTAGGAGATTAAAGCTCTACCTCTCATTTTCATAGAACTTCCTTTTTAAGAAAGGGCACAAGTCAAATGCATAAAATCTCTCATGGAGAAAAGGTTTTATTCTTGGGTGCTTAAAAGAACCAAAGGAGAGTACATCTACACATCCATTAATGAGGTTTTGCTATTGTGCCTCTTATGAGGCAGCACACAAAGGCACATTAGGCTGCTCTAATGCACATAGCAAAAGTGAACACCTTTAGTGACACTTAATGCACAATAGACTAATTCCACTGCACATTAGTGTTAGCACTTTTTGATATAAGGCTTTAATGCACAGTAGAATCGGCTACTGCGCATTGGAAGCACATGTGTAGATGTGCCCAGAAGGTACTAAAAAATAATTCTATTTCTTGTTAAAATGAGTGCGTGCTGGCATTAACAAATTTGCTATCCTGATCTTAAAACAAGTCCTGACATGAAAAAGGCAGACTATTAAAACACAAAAAATAAAAATTAAAAAGGGCAGAATAGTAATTTTAAGCTTTTGTTAGTTTATAAAACTGCCTTTTAATTTACTTAAGGTTTTGTTAGTTTATAAAACTGCCTTTTAATTTTAAGAGCACAACGCCGGGGGGTGGGGGGTGGAAACCAGCTTTCTTTCATAGCATATTAAAGCAAATCACCATACAGCATTCTGATCATTTGAGTTCAGTGGAACTAACAACATAAACAAGCCTATCCATCTCACTGAGTGAAATTACTTACATGCATATGCATTTGCAGGATCAAGGTCTAAATGAAGGAAATGACTGTTTTAGAACAAATCTGTATACAAACACTTTAAGAGGGAGATGCCTTTTAATTTACAAAAATGCAAAAAAATCCCCCCAACAAATTAAGTGAAGGATGCTGCTATTAAGTTTAAACTCAGTCTGCTTTCACCAGCTGGAATAAGGTCATAGTCTGTACTTGTTTGCATTAGCAAAGCCTACTTTCCATAGGTGTCATTTGATTAAAGCACGTTTGTTGCTTGCATTAATATTAATGAAAGCCTCTTACCACCAGAATCTACTATAACATTAGAAGATTTGTTTCCAAATACAGACTCAAAGTCAACATTAAGGCCAGCTGATGGCTGTGGCTGAGCAACAGGAGATGGAGTGAACCCTAAACAAAAAAAACAAAAGAACAAAACAGCATATTATAGCAATTACTCCATACTCTTTCCTATGGAAGACAGAGGTATGCCAAAGTGCATATTTAAAAGCTACTGTACAACCTCTAGTTGCCTGAACAACAGAATAACAAAGCAACTCATGAAAACCCAGGTTACACTCTGAAGTAGAAAGAAACACAGGGAAGGACCGCAGGAGTGATTTTCACCCCCAAATATTTTTTCTTCAGTTTTCTCCTACAGAAAGGGCAGGCCATGTCCCCAAAGTCTATGGATCCAAAAGATCCCTAGAGGCAAGGTCAGCAACATCAAGTCCTACATCTTCAGATTCAAACTCAATTTGGTGGGAATGAGGGTAGTTATGTGCAGCTCTGTCTCCCAACACTTGCTCACAATAGTATGAAGGCAACACAGTAGCCACCCAGCCCTCCAAGCTATAAGGGAAAGGGCTGGCAAAGACTCTTCTTCAAAACAATGCTTTGAACCGTTTGTCTGTAAGCTCCCTACACCATTTATCAGTTTACAGGTGAAAATCTATGAAACCTTCATTGTAATAAACCACACCATGACAGGATGTCTTACTAAACGCATGAATGCAAGGCAACCACTGCTGAAAATAGACAGTTATGATCAAGTTTGATGTCTGTTCAGTTAGTTTTGAATAGCCCCTGTAGGAAGTAATAAACCCAGCGATTAAGAAGGGGAGAGACTAGGAGCTAGAGCCAGTTTTATTACATTGCTTTGTCAGGCTACACAACTTCTTGTTTTATGCTCAAATGTAAAAAACAAGCAAAACTCCCACAAAAACACCCCCCCCCCCCCAAAAACAAACAAGAAAAAGATGCTGCTCATGTACCGGATCTTGTAGGCATTACATAATGTTAGCACAATGTTTTGAAGGCTTAATGTACTGTTAACTGCTATATAACCATTTAAAAGTTATGACCCAATTCAATACATTATGTAAAAGAACATAACATTGAACTGAGTTTTATATGAAGAATGTCTAGACTGCAACTGTTGTCATTTTATGTGGGTAACTGAAGTACTAATTCTTTTATGTGAAAGGCACCATAAAATTGTAATGTAATTAAACAGGTTCTCTTGACCACTAACATTAGCAACGCTGCTTTTTATACCAATGTGGACAGCACTACTTTTAGGAAAAGAGTATATTACTTAGCTATAAAAAAGCATTCTAGTATAAGAGTAGAAAACTCATCTTTAAGAAGTATTATTTTCTTTTTAGAACATGAACTAATTTCTGCAATAGTCACCTGGTCTCATATTTTAACTTTTTCAGCTGCTTTAAGACTCAATTTCTTTGCGACAGTCTATGGTTGGGGAGGGAGACTAGAATTTTACTCTTGAGTTCTTGTTACCGATCCAGTGAACTACTCTCCCACAGAAATAGGTCTGAAAAATGTCACTAAGGCGGAAGAAAAAACGCTCCCACAAACAACTTTGGGTATTAAAATCAATGTTTAGCATACAATTATTATATCGGGAAAATTAGAAAAAACAGAAGTCTAAGAATCAATGATTCTGCATGCATTTTCTGGATACTGTATTAAACTTCTACTCTGCAACTGATCTTTAAATTTTGACATCTATTCACAACCATTTTGATTCAGTGGACCCAAAGGTTAGTTTCTCATTTTACGAATCCTTATTTCACCAAAATGCAGCATTTTAATGTTTCAAGCAGTAATTCTCCAACTAAATATAGAATATTTACCGATAACTTGAGAGCAATAGTCTGTTAGACCAGGGGTGCTCAACCCCTGCCTTGTGGCCATAGAGCCATATCATCTGGCCTGCTGGGCTCCCCAGTGTCATAGTTAGTTGCTGGTCCCCCCACCGCCAATTTTCACAACCCAGGGGAGCCCAGCAGGCTGGAAAGCATGGCCTTGTGTGCTGTATTGGGTGTGCAGGGCCTAGTCATACCAGGGCAGCGCATAGGGGCCCAATTCCACATGCCAACCTTGTGAGAGATCCAGACTGTGGGGCCAAAAGGTTGAGCAACATTGTGTTAAGAGTTAGACCATCGGCACCAGATACAGTAGGGGCCGTCACCAATGATTGGGTACAATCTATAGGACAAAGCCCATTTCAGGAGTTGCACAAATCCAAACACATTACACTGTTGTAAAGACAACTAACTAATTAGTAACCAGACATGGTCCTTTGGGTAGATGTGATATCTTTCATTAGACCAATTAAATAGTTGGAAAAATTGTTCTTTGCAAGCTTTTGGGCACAAACGCCCTTCTTCAGGCACAGAGTCTGTTGGGGTGTGTGTGTGTGTGTGTGTGTGTGTGCGCGCGCGCTTGCGCTTTCCTGGGTAGAAGAGAAGCCAACACACAAAATGCAGGTTTTTATTCTACCTGGGAAAGCAAAACCTTTAGTTGGTCTAGTAAAAGATATCATATCCCAAAGAACCTTGTCTGCCTATGTCCTTAGACCCATACAGCTACAACCAACAACCCTAATTAGTAAAATCAGGAATTTCATACAAGAGATGTCCAGTACATTCACCTATCACAGACCCTACAACAAAGAACGAAAGCAATGGAGAACACCAGGAACAGGTGGAGGGGGCCTCTTTGGAATACCTTCCTCATCTCAGAGTCTGGGTATAGGTTAAGAAAACATATTAACAGACACGTGCAGAGCAGTGTTGCAGCTGCTTTTCACAGGAAACCATTTAGTGTAGCAGGTTGCAGTGGCATGTGCATTAGAAAAGTGCCCTTGAATACTGTGTTATAAATTAATGGTTATTTTGAGCATTAATTTAAATACAAATTAAAAACAACAAGGTCTAATCTAAAATAACTAATCTATCTGCAACGATGCATCTACCTTAAGCAGCGATGTATGAATCCAAATTTTTTAGCCAACATACATGAACAATGCAGTTCTATCCAAATGACGAGCCTACTAATGCTAGGCACATAACATGATGCTTCTTTGGCAAGACCCTATATCACATTACCTACCTCCAAACAGACCAGCTACAGCAGAGGGCTCATTGCAGAAATTAGAAGCATTAGGATAAGCTTGAGGACCACAAACACAATCTGATAAGGCATGTCACAAAAGCAGAAAGAGCAGAGAAAGGAGAAGGAATGTTACAGAAAGGACCAGCATATGCTATTTATTTCCTACACCAAATACTCTGAACTGAAATTAAGAATGAATTTATGTATGCTGTAACCATACAATGGAACCAGAAGAGTCAGCCTAGTACATCAAACACATTCAAAAGGGATACTTATGTTCTAGGTAACATAACATAAGGGAAAGACTTGCAAAATTACAACTATAAAAGAAAGTTAAAACACCCCCAACCAAATGCCACATTTTACACTCTTGGAAGATACTAATGAGTGCAAAGCTAGAGGCATTTTTCCTTGTACCTGAAGTATAATGATACAGGCCAAGAGTGGATTCATTATTTGCTGCCACAAATGGATTTGGTTCAGTAAATGGACTGAAATGACCTAAAGAACCAGAAAGAGTTATTTTAAATCCACATTCCATAGTCACAGTTGCTCACTTACGTTACCACAAGTGAGATAATGCTAACATTTTTAAACATCATTTCTAAAGAATTATAATTTTGTTTTAAGTATACATGATCTAGCCCAGTGGCTAATAAAAGAACTTAAGTGCCATACTGGGTCACACCAATAGTCCATCTAACCCAATACCCCATCTTAGCCAGTGGCAGAAGTGGATGCTTTACAGGGAGGGCACTTAACCTGCATCTCTAGATTCAATACCCTTCCTGGCACCCACCATCTATTAGTTTCCAACCATTCTGTTCAATAGGTCATCCATGAATTTGTCCGGTCCCTTTTTTAACCTGGCTATGCTATCTGTAGGGCCCTACTGGATTCACGGTGGAAGTGGGCTGCACTGTGGCTCTTTTCATCTTGAAGGTTCCCCATGTACCCTCTGCTGCTGATGGGTGGAGGTGTCTCACTTACGGCTAACTCTTAAATTAGCAGGGAAGCAAAAACCAGTTTTAAACATGGCCGCATTTTTGCTTCTCAGGCTGTCTGAGTTGAGGAGCACAGACGTAAGTGGAGGCAGCACCAACAGTGGTTCTCAACCTGAGGTGCCACCACGTTCAGAGAGTAGTGAAGCACAATGAGACCAACCTAGCCTAAGGCTCATAATTTATCAGACTTTTCCTGCCCAAAATTAGCTTCCAGTAAGCTTAGACTGCACAAGTATGGGTCTGCCAGTCTAGCCAGACTTTCCAAGGGAAAAAGACAAAAAAACCCACAAAACGAAGTGTAACTAATTTATTTTACAGTGAAAAATGCTATTAATTCTTCACATTGAGAATTAATCCAATTACTGTATACTTAGGATTTACTACAACAGTCATAATGTTTCCAGAGACTGCTATTTCTTTATAATGGTCTCAAGTCGACCATTATAAAAAATGCCCAAGAGCTGTGTGTTAGTGAAGAAGAGTTTTTCATCACCACAATACATGTAGCTTCTGGTCAGCTCCACTAACACGAATATTGTTTACAACAATGGATTCTTAAGTAGAGGCCACAAGCCCCCACGATTATTCAGATTAAACAGTCTTCCTAGCACAAAATAATGAAAGAAAAGCAATGTTTTCATCTATTCCTCATCCTTATTCCCCCTAGGAACTTTATGAAATATGTTTCTCAGCCTTTTGGTTCAGACCAAGGGTAATGAAGCCTGAAATAAGCACAAGCACATTTGAACACATACTTCTGTCTACAATTGTAAAAAACATCGAAAAGTTAACCACCATGCCACTTCAATGCATTATCTATTATAAACTGGGCAAATGTAATCAAATTGCCAAATAAAGTATCAAGTCACATAAAAAAGTCTTTTTCCAGGGAGAGGGAAGGAATAAAAAATAAAAATCACACAACTTTTGTACAGATTTTAAGATATTTCATAAACTGAATTAGAGAGCTAGTTAGTTAAAAGGTACTTTACCAACAAACATTTCATGTGTGGGTGTCCTAGTCGTGAAAGTAGGTACGTCAGAAGATACAACAGAGAGATGAATAGCATCGTTAGTTTTTGTGAGGAAAGGATTTAGGCTGGGAATGGCATCATCAACAGCATCAACAGTAGCAGAGAAAGGATCTGTGCAATCCCAGAAAGCAATAGAGAAATAAGAAAGTGTAACTGATTTAGTAATAAGTGAGTTGAAAAACAGGAGAGGTAAAGAGTTCACATTATTTAATTACAAGAATTAAAAGATATGGAAGAGTCAAATAGGGCACAGGAAGTACAGTTCTGAACAAAAAGTTCTGGAAACACATCTGAGCCAATAACCCAGGGAGCCCAAGCCCATGAACTCAGGCTTGACAAGCTATTTGTAATCTTGGGAAAAATTCCTTTTACGAACAGGAAAATGTAACTTCTTTTTTTAAATGTTTAAAGCAATAAGCAAGTACATGGATAATGTGGTTATTTTCATCCACAGATCCCAAAGTACTTTATTAAGAAGAGGCCACTTCATTATCCACCCCTTTTAAACATGATCAATATTTGCTTTGCTCATCTGTATCATCATGTCTGATGTGTGAATCATGAGCTGTCAAAAAGAGCATAGAGCACCCTGCTCTTGAATTATATTCCTTGATACTATTATACAAATCCAAATCAGTGGAAGTTGTCCTATATTACTGTTTGTATTGTCCTAGTGCCTAGACTTTCTGGTTACTATTTTAAGCAATGTAGATATAAATGAGTACCTGAATGAAAGCTGTAAGAGTGTGTATGGTCTGTGCCCCCCCCCTCCCTTTCCTGCCCAAATTCTGGGGCTTTCACAAGTCTTGCTGAAGGACATGCAGGCTGATTTCTTCTATGGGGATTGCAAATCAAATCCAAAACCAAAAGTATGAGAAAATTAAATTAAATTTACAAAAAAATCAAGTACTGAGCATGAATTTGACCTCTAAATTCACAGTTTTCTGCCAATACTACTTGAGATTAAGGCATTAGCTTTCCCTCTCATGTTAGCCCTGAGCTATGTGGAATTTCATGCCTATATTCTTTTCAGGCATTTAGAAGCCACACAGAATTTGGATTCAAATTTAAAATTATTACACAAAAAAGCAGGCATGCTTTTCTCCCAGGTTAGGTATGGCTCAATTCCTAGAATGAGTAGAAATAGCTTAAGATGTTTGACATGGCTTTTAATACAGGATAAACACTATTAAATAGTGCCATAAGCTTATTTTGAAAGGGTAATAGGAATCTTGTGTTCTTAAGCTTTACCTACATTTTGTGATAACACTACAGTCTCAAATACTAGTGTATTCTATACACTGCAATTAATTCCTATGCAAACTTTTTGCAGTTCTTGTCTGTGATGGGTGTTACATCAGGAAAATTTGTGCTCTGGCATACAATGAAAATAGTGTAAACTAGATTTTCTATTGCCATCTTGCCCTTCCTCAATTCTTGTGGTAGTCATCTTCTGTCTGCATTTCCTTCCCTTGTAATTAACAGAAAAATAGGTACATTTAGGACAGCCTATGATTAACTCCAAGTTCATGGAAATGTTTATATGCACTTTTGCATTTAGACTTCTAATATGTATAAATTAATTTGGAAAATAATATGCCCCAATCTAACATAGCAAGGGGGAGTCCTTTATGGCTATTCAAATAATTGTTGATATTTGAGCTGTGTACATGCTGTTTAATTTAGATAAAAGACCTAAAACTGCACTGAAGGAAGTGTTGATTAGTTTTGTATTGCTTTGAAGTTATGATCCACACCAGTTTCTATTACTCTATAAAAATGGACCAAGAAGGATAATTAACACTTAATACCATCTGTTCCCAGAATGCTTTCAGACTGCATTAATGTTATCCCACAAATTATGGGCATCACTGTCAAGATACCAGTGAAGTCCTTCATACCCCTCTTGGCTGCTCTTTTAAAATACTCCTATCTAAATATATTTTTTCAGTTTAGATTCTACCCACTCCAGCCCACTTGCTAATCCCAGTTGAAGCATTACTGGTTTGTTCAAATGTTTGACTGACTTGCTGTCTTAGTTAGCCATGTAAGTCTGAAGTCAAGCAGAAGGTATAACAGGCTGGCATGTTAGAGTAACTTATTCAGAGGCATACACTTTCATAAGTGACAGTACTTCACCAGAAGCATCTAAGTAGGCTGTTGCCTACAAAAGCTTATGCCTCTGAATGAGTTAGTCTTCACGGTGCCACCCTACATTACTTTATTGTGCTGTTTCTAATAAAAGCAACTTCCAAAAACTTGCAAGTGAATTAGCTGCACTTTATCCATCTAATTCAGCTAATTTATTTCAGCTGCAGCCAATTCATTTTAGAACCATCAAAGAAGAATCCCCTTCACAACTGCAACAACTGGTCCTTAAAGCCAAATTCTACCCTGGAACATTCACAGCTCCCTTTCATCCCAAAAGGAGCATGGAGAGTGAAGACTAAGCTTGGCATCTTACTAGGTTAAAAAATACTTAAACCAATATTTTAGTTTTTCAACCCAACTTCTCTCTTTATAAAGGAACTGCACTAATACTGCTCCAACTGCAAGGACAGACAGATGGTCTTTCCAGAGAAACTGCATTGCTAGAAGGATTGTATGCTAGTGCATGCTTTGAAGTGATTCACTGTCCTCACTTTTGATTTAAGATCTAGCCTCCTTTGCTTTAAGCAATCTAGCAAAATGTCTAGAGGTAGTGTTTAAAATATTCATGCCCTGGTACCAATACATCCATCTGTTATGTTCTAGATGAACTTTCTGGTAAAGGCTTAAAAGCTTAACTGATTTAGGAGTTTGTAAGTCCCATCTTCAGTCCAAGTTTACTCTGTCAGTTACCCCTATACTGCCATACATACCCTTTAAGTTACCATATACACCAAGTACAAACATTACTACATCAGAAATTTACCTAAGGTAGGGATGCTGTGCAGTGGTTAGAGCACATGACTGGAAATAGTCCAGGTTCCATTCTTGGCTCTGCCACTGACTTGCGGTATGACCTCAGGCAAGTCACTTTACTGCTCAGTTTTCCCATCTGTAAAATGGGGAAAATACTTCTTACCTACCTCACAAGGGTGCTGTAAGAGTTAATGTTTGTGATATCGCTTACATCTTTGGATGAAAGGTAATGCAAATATACAAGATGAATATGAAGAATTTTAGAATCATGATCCAAAAAAAACTTTGGCATCCAAACCTGAAACCTTTACAGTTATTGAAAAATCTATGATACTTAGAAAGATGGAGGACACTAAGCAAACAGATGAAGCCAATTTATGAAGGGACTTCACGATGACTAAATTTAAAGAGAGAAAACTAAGCTGAATCTAGAGATAGTGAGCAAATAAGCCTCTTTTACACAGGGTATCCAAAAATGGACTAGTCTATCATTAGAAGATCTCTGAATGATCTAGAGAAACAAAGCAGAGGAACCAGTATGTTTTTCCTCATTTCTTCTTCCAACCTAAAATATTCTGTTCACAGGATTTTGCATGTGCAGGCTGATAAGCCGTCCACAGCAGTTCTTTCCAAGAAAGACGCTTTGCTCAGTAAAGTTTACACAAAGAAATGAAAGGCAATTTAAAATTGCATTTTATAACCTACCACATCAAAAGCTGGTGAAGCACTGAGCAAGTTAACACACTTTCAGAAGCCCTTGTGAAAAAAACCCTCCCAAAACCCATGCCTGTTCTATAGTAAATATTTCCAGGAAATCACTTGAAATCGTAAGGCACTCATAGGCAAGTGTGACATGTCAAAGTTATACAGAACATGCACACATGTTGATAGGAATAGGAAATGCACTTTGTATTTTATGAAAAGTTTACTTTTGCTAGTACAAAAAATTGGCTATAAAACGCTAAAGCTCACAAAAAAAACCAACACATCAGGTAAGAGGTTCAGCAATCATATCCAATTAAAGGAAACCCACAAAACAATACTTCTGTTTTCAGTCATCCAAAAGCACATAAACAGGGTATTTTAACTCGTGTTCTGAAACCTAAGTCTCTAAATTCTTTCAGTTCAAGAGGCAATTTTATCCTGAAGGTTCACATGCGGATAGTATATGCAGGTTTAATAGACCTTTTGCTGTTTAGAACATTTGGAAGAAGTGTGCATGTTGTCACAGTTAGCTGACTGACTAGCTCACTAAATCCTGTGCATCTACACGAAGAAGAAAAAAAAAAAAACACTTAAGATTTCCTTATTGCTTAACTATAGTTCTATTAGTGGATGTCAGTGAACATGCATTTCACACCTACCAGATCTTTCATTATCAGCAAAATTTTAAAAAGCTTAAACAGCTGGTAAAGAAAAGAAATGCACACATTTAACTGTATTCAGCAAGCTGGAGAACTGGAGTCTGAACACTCTGGAAACGAGTCAAAGCTTAGTTTAATATTAAATTGCTTAACTATAGTTCTATTAGTGGATGTCAGTGAACATGCATTTCACACCTACCAGATCTTTCATTATCAGCAAAATTTTAAAAAGCTTAAACAGCTGGTAAAGAAAAGAAATGCACACATTTAACTGTATTCAGCAAGCTGGAGAACTGGAGTCTGAACACTCTGGAAACGAGTCAAAGCTTAGTTTAATATTAAATTCAACCAAACTTTTCTGCCGCTTATAGCTATTCCTTTGCTATTTATCTTCACCAATTCCGCTTCCTTTTCTTATAGCTTTCTTCATCTGTTATAGGCCATACTGTCTACTTTTCACCGTCTTTCACCTTCTATTCTCAAACTTTTCTTGGAATGGTTTTGCCAAAGGCTTTAACCAGCATCCTTCACACTATTTCAAATATGCCAGTTTTAAAAGTTTGTGCTTAAATTTAAAATATACGTCTTATAATTTGAATATCTGGCACCAAGAAAGTCTTCATAAAGCTGTTTCCCCCAAGAGATGGAAGAAATCTTTAGTCACTGCTCTTTCATCTCAAAGTCCTTTATAACCATCACCCAACCAAATCCTCTTGTTATGTTCTGCACTCTAATTTCTACTTGCATTGTCTTTTTCCTTCCCTTTCATATGCCACTTACATTTCTCCTTGCTGAGTTGATTTAAAAGCATTCCAACAAGTTTCTCTATTTTATTAATGAGAAAAAAAAATAAAAAAAAATCAGACTAGGCTGTGGGGTATGCCACTCCTGGAAGTGCAATTACACAACAGTTCGAATCTAGAGCCAATTTAGAATTCTTACCTCCCCATGTACCTCCTACTTGTGGCGTAGTGGATATAGGATGTACAGGTGGATGAAAAGTTGGCTGCATATCAAGCAGATCATTTGGCAGCTTCGATGTGCTACAGAGACAAATTAGGACAACTGTTTGAACTATATCAAATAGTTTGATACAAAAGGCAAAGGCAACATTATTGTAGATATTGTCAACTACTACAAACAGATTCATTCAACAGTAAGGGACATGATTAAACGTTTTGAACAAAAGCTCACTAAAACTTTAAAATTCTGTGGGAAATAGCCTCTGGATGCTACACTAAGCTAGTCTCTCTGCCATGACACCCCTGCCCTCCCCCACCTTGGGCCGCTCCAAAGCAGATGAACCTGGTGGGTCTGACCAACTATTCTTCCACCCTCTTCAGATCCCGATATCAAGTTATAGACATGGTACACCTGTACATCATTGATTGCAGCTTCCAAAATACCCTAACTAACTACAGGTTGCTTGTGGCAGTTCTAAAATGTGGGCAGGAACTAGGCTGGCACAGAACCCATCCTTGATTATAAAGCTACAGACGGCTCTGAATTCCACTCCCACCAGGGACCTGAACTTCCTGGGGCACAGCTGAGAATCTGGATCAGGGATCTAGCACTCATTAAGGAACTTTAAAAAGTTTCAGTAAATACTCTGCCCAGAAGTATACTAGCATCAGCAGTGCTGCTGTCTAAAAAGCAATCTAAACTATTAATTAAAAACAGAAACGAAGGCCAAGCAGCAACTCACTGAGGGAAGAAGAAAGCCTCTCAATATTAGATAGAAATGGAGGGAAGGAACTCACAGAAACTGTATTTAAAAAGACAAGTAAATGCTTTCAACAGAGCAAAACAGATTTTACATTTAGACCTTTGCAAAACAAAGTAAAAAGTCTTGGAGGGACGCAGAAGGGCACACTGAGGTATGTGGGTGTATTTTGTTTTGCAATTACTTAACAAATATTATTTATTCCTTTAAAACGTTTGCAAGGAATACAGGGGAACAGAGTAACTTGAAACTTTGAACAACAAATAAAATCACTTAAATTTGTTACATGCGAATAGTTACGTTGTGCTACATACACATTTGTGGGGTTTTTTCACCCAGTTATAAGCAAAAAAGGTTCACTTTCCAGATTAAAAAAACTCTATACATATGGTATTAACACCAAAAAAAATTAATTTCCTGTGAATTGAACTGGTCTACCACAACAGTCCTGTAACAGTGATTATAAAGGTCCTTCCCTGTGTAATTTTTAATGTATACTGAAATGTAGTGTATCAGCAGGTTTTGTAGTTTGGTAAGAATAGTGCTGGTTACAAACAAAACGCTAAATTTAGAGTCCCCGAAATATTCACAGCTTCCAGTGATCTCCACTAACCTATCCATGCGTATGAGTGCAGATTTATCTCTGGCCATTAAGCGGAGCTATCAATTACAGACTTTTTTGGGATCTCTCATCAGCCTACCAGTATACTGGCACTGACCCAGAGAATCAGCCTACTGCTCCCTGTTGACCAGGAAAAACATCAAAAGGAAAAGAAAAAACTGAGAAGAGATGAGAAAACAAGCAAGATTTGACTCGGGAGCTATTTCTGTGTATGCGTGTGTGCTCTCCCTCTGCAATGGAGAAAGGAAAGACACTACAGAACCATTTTGTTATCTACATTTTAAAAATTAAATACAAGCCAAAATAGATTACATCATTTATAACTTTTCAACTGCATTAGTCTCTTCCAAGCATAGCATTTCTGACTACTCGAATAGCTTTGTGAAATTTCTGGGTTTCCGAGAACTGACTAAGTGTGCAAATATTAGGTATCCATACAATACAACTACATCTAGTTATTCTAAATGCCTTGGCTTTAGCAAGCTACAGAAGTCCCACACATTTACATTTCTACCTACAACCCTTACAGTTAGTGACAGACTTCAACTGTTGTTTTCTGCAACTTGAAATGTACTGTTTGATTTTTCATTTCATCCAGGAAGCGCGCACACCAACTGCTGAAACTTCCTTAGTCTGATGAAGGGTTTTTAAACCAGAAAGCTTGCTTAATAACTATTCTCCAACTATTTGGGTTGGTCTAACAAAAGATATCAAATTCACCCAAGGAACCTTGTCTGTTTGATATATGCATTTACTATATTGTTGGTGTCCCATAAATAGTATCCTATAAATTGTTATCTACTAGGAAACAAGTCCATCACAAGGCAGACCATTTTTGAAGGTCAGTAAATACTGGAAAGGAAGTGTACAAGTTCCTATGCGAGCTCCACAAGGACAGTTTATTGGATTCAAGTCCAAAATGAAAATGCTTTTGGAAGACTATTCCCTACTTTCCACTTTAGTGCTACACAATATGACAATTAATTTGATTTTTCTGTGTAAAGTAAGTTCAGAACTAAACAGC